AGAGGTGGTAGGTTACCACCACAAATTATGTTAATTTGCGCTGGCTTATTCAACCCGGTAGTATCTTTTCCCAATCTTATTCGGATTTTGGCCAATTTTGGTGCCGTTCCGTCTCCAAGTGAACCCTTTAAGGTCTAAAATACTTAATGTCTCCCTGCCATCCCATGCCCTCTCAATTATCCAACACTTTTCTTATGCATGGGTTCATGAAAAGTTGCCCTATCTTAGGGTCTTTTTTTTTTTAAACAAAGTATTATGACACTTTAGATCAAGCCAACTATCCTTCACTGTTTAAGCACTTTCATGACCTTCTGACCACCTGGAATGATTAGAACATTTCCTAGATGGGCAGAATTGCTGCAGTGAAGAGGTCTCTCCTCCCTCAGATCTTCTACTACACAAGGCAGTGCCCACGGTATCATATACATGCTCTTCAGGCTCAGAAATCTAGGTTTGAAGCCAAGAGTCTCACAAGCGGTTATGTTCCGACCAAAATTATCGAGTGGTCTGGGTCTCGCCCATATGATAAAATATTAAAATGTTGCCCACATTAGTCAGCTGGCGATGCGACACAGGATGTTCTGTTTTTTCGCTAGAGGCTTATCTTTGTCACCCCATTTCAGTCAATAACCTTCTATAGTTGCAACTTCGTTGGTGCAGAGGGATTGGCATTCCTATTACAATACATTCTTTGAAATTGTGGGATGACATGAAATACTCGGGGTACTTCTCATTCTCCCTTACCTTAATTGGTAACCCTTCCTTTGCAGCCAGCTTGCTGAACCCCAGAGCATACCTTCACTGGATTGACTGTAATCTACTCACACTGGCCAAGCTAATCGATTCCACAGGCATTAAAGCCTTTTCGCACACTGCAAGAAAGAGATCATCTTCCCTCAGGGGGAACTGTTTCGGCATCTTCAAAATGAAGCATTTCCCTGCAACTTTGCGGAGCATGTATCCTGACCTCTCAAAGAAAATGCAGTTTTAACACCTCTGCGCCTCAGATCCCCATGCTCCTGGTGTGATTTCCTTTACTCTCAACATCCCAAGCCTCTCTGCCACCCTACAACATTAAGTTGGAGTCAGAGCTTGGTGGTGGCATCAATTAACAACTGGACCCAGATTTTGGCTGACATGTCAAAAAGCTCCTTCACGATATCTGCTTTTGAAACAAACTATAAGCTACTTCAGCAGTGGTATCATAAAATCCCACCTGTGAGGGAATCTAATTGGAGGGCCTCCTACATTACACTCCTAAACAAGAAGCCCTTTTAAGCTGCTCAAGCACATTTTTACAGCTGATCAACATGCGATTGTGCAGTCTTGACAAAGTCATGGCCCACCAAGAGCATAAAAAATGCACACATTTTAGGCCTCCTGGTTAGGTTGTTGTGCTCTAACAAAATTTTCTCTCACTGTGATTGAACCCACGTTCGAACTTCATTGGGCAAGCCCCCCCC